TAAGGAAACCTTTTTCACAAGTAGGGTGGTGAAACATTGGAACAGGTTGCCCAGAGAGGTGGTGCAGCTTCTGTTCTTGGAGGTTTTCAAGATGTGAGTGGACAAAGCCTTGAGCCCCATGACCTGAACTCATAGCAAACCCTGAATTGAGCAGAGGCTGGGACTAGAGACCTCCTGGGTCTCTTCCAACACACATTATACTGTTATTCTATGATTTGGTTGCCATCACTGATCCTACTACACCAACACTGGCAGTGCAGCGTGTGATTCTAGAGAGAATGACCAGAGCCTGCTGAGTTGCACTGATTCAGCAGGCTGAAAGAGCAGGGCTCAGCTGCACTAGAGGGGAACCTGATTCACTCAGTTTAGAAAGGAGCTGTGAGATTCAAAACTTGAGATCCCATTTGTCTCTTCCTGTCTCGTACAAAGCTGCAGTCATAAATAGGTAGGCTACATCTGAAGATTTATTAAACATCCGTGTTGGAGTCTGATCCTTAAAACAGCACTAGCAATTTTCCCATAGCCTAAACAGAACCAAAGAGACAGACCTTCTTTACAGCACAGGGGCTGAGGCAGATGAGATGCCAACTCTGTGATCAGGCCACATATGTGGTAGACTAGATGGAAGGTTTGGATATTGCAGATTGTGCCTGGTTATCAGCCTGGCTGCACTGTCATTCACCATCCTCTCTTCCCAAGCAGAGAAAATACAGGAAGAGATTGTGGCTTTTGTATTTTGCAGTTGTTGCTCACTACTAACTGTGGGATGTTCAGAGACTTGAGTTTTGTCAGCTGTTGGTGTAATGTCCCTCACCTCTGGCTCCCCTTGCACATCTGGTGAAACCAGATGTGTCTACACCTTAAAGACTATCTCCCAGAAGCCTCTTGTCTGGTCAAAGTACAGTAAAGTGGTGGGCATGCCAAAACCAACTTTGGTTCCCTTACAGCTATTCCCATATAACTTGTAAGAGGAACTTTGTGGTTCTGTGATTCAAGACTTAAATATATCCCAGTCCAGAACCACCCTAGTTTTTGTTTGTTTAAACTGGATCACTATAAGAGGAGTCAAGTGGGGCCAGAGGGGATAACTTATTTTCCCTGTCTTATAGTAAATGGCAGAGGGCCAAATGTTTATAAGGATGTTATTCTGTAACCTTCTCTCAAACTTACCCAAACTTAGCAAACTGTGAAGAGTTTCTCAAAAGATCAGTTACAATTAACATTTAATTAAACATTTTAAATCATTATTTAACCAATTACAAAGTGCACAGATGCAGAGCTTGCTGAGCTAGAGCAAAGAAAATGTGCAGTTATTAATGTTCAGCATTTCTGAAATGAAGCAGGCTCAGTTTGTTGGCAGCTCAGGTCACACGCTGAGCTTTATAGACTAAGGGATGTATTTTTTCCATAGTCATTTATGTGCAGATGTTAAAATAGTTTAAGATAATTGTGAATCTTTCAGTAAAGGCAATTTTTGACTACCTGTTTCTATACAGTTGCTTACTATTCCTAGAATTGCTGTTTCACATGTTTAGACCTATTGTAAACAGCTTTAGAGGGGTATGGACATAGTGTGCTTGACTGTCTGATCTCTTTAGGACATTGAAAATGATGGTCCTGAACCCTCTGACTGGGACAGATATGCTGCTGAAGAGTATGAGATTCTTGTGGCTGAGGAGTCTGGGAATGAGCAGTTACAAGAAGGGTAAGCATAGGCATTGCACTGCCCTGGGGACACACTGTTTGGCTCCAGCTGAGGCTTAGGAAGAGCACGTGGGTGTCACTTTTAACAGAGGTAGTGGATTAGTGGACTTATCATTTGGACCCAACACTGGAGCATCTGAAGCCCAAAACAGTTGCTTCAAAGGTGTTATTGGTGTATTTGTCACAATGGGCTGCTTTGTGGACAGCCATTTGAATCAGTTACACACACTGCAGTAATGAAGATAGCTGGGGAAGAGGACAAAGCCTTTTTCTTTTGGCAGCTGTACAAAAAAAAGAGATCAAAGGACTTTTGCTAGTCTTGGACATGTCTTGACCATGTCACATTATCATAGGTTAGAAGCTGTAGCTCTGTTACATTTTTTATACTTAGTGGAGAGTTTCTTTAGTCAAATAATTTTACTTTCTACCAAACTTTATACCTATTAGTCTGTGCTCTTCCTAAGCTGTGTTTCAATGTCTTCATCAATTTACAAAGTTTGTTGAGACTTTCTCTTTAAAACACTGTTGGTTTCTGCAATACTTACACTCATTTTTGCAGCCTTCTATAAAATTATGGACAGACATTCCAGCTATCTTTAGAGTCAATGGATTTAGGCAGAGCAGTTGCTCCAGAACCTCTCCATGTGCAAGGGCTTCCTGCAGAGGCTCCTAATGGAGACTCAGTATAATTATCTTTTAGACTTGTGTGTGTTAGTATCTTCTTGAGAATATTTCTCTGGAAGTCTCCAGGTTAATATAACGAACATCCAAAGAATGCTTACCCCATGTTAATCTTGCATGATTCAGGTTTTCATCCATTCTTGAACAGTATTTGTAGAGCCATTAGAGTACTGAGAAGATTGTGTAATTTTCAAAACTTCCCACACTGGAAATTGCTTGGGATAACAGTAGCACCTACTAATTAGCCACAGAGATTTGCAAAGCTATTGAGAGCTATGTTTGCTTCTTTCCCTGTGATGTGCATCCAAACATCTATGGGCTGTTCCTTCATCTCCTTTGAGCTGCCTTGCCTTTTTATGGCCTTCACAATGGAAGATGAGGTAACACAGGATGGAAGATAAAATTGCTGTATTCCCTGCAGCTGCTTTGCAACACCTGCGTCCTCAGCACAGAAAAGAAATAGGAGTCTGCCATAAAAGCTTTGCAGGACCATGAATCTCCAAACTCACCAAAACAGAGAAGTGGCAGGTGATGTCAAATTTTTGAAGTCTGTCTGAAACAGCTCTGTGTCTTCCTGTAAAGAGCATGTCAGCAACCTTGCTGCTTGCTTTTAAGAGCCCCTGAAAAGCTTTGTAGTCATGGCAGCAGGATTAGATCTCATTTGTGGAGCATAGCAACAGACTACGCAGGAAAAAAGGAAGGGAAAAAGGAAAACAAAGAGCTGGATGCCCAGACAAATTTGCCAGAAACAGGCATTGAGGTTTTTGCACATACATTATTTCTGCTGTCCTTTGAGGATGACAGAAACAGGGAGCAGGGACAAAACCAAGACAATTTATGAGCTCTATGAGACACCAGAAGATTTTTTGGCTAAGTTAGCTGGCAGAATCTGAAATCTGGTATTTGTCTTATTAATACATTTGAAAATAATCATCATTCGGTAATCACAGATGAATTGGTGTGTACCACATATGATAGTATGTAGGAATGAATGGGCTCAGTATCATGACATGTCAACCAAATTCCTGCCAAAGACATAAAACCACTGGTCTTCACCAAGGTGGACAGGCCACCTTTACTTAACCCAGAAAAGGAACATCTATAATTTTATATATGTTCAATAAATAACCCTGTCCATAGCTTCTCTGGATGGAAGGTTTCTAAAACCACTGGCTGGCTGCAGGCTTGCCCATGAGAGAACAGTGCTCCTGGCAGAGGAAGAAGACATAGCGGATACTCAGAGTGACTTCAAGGATGCTGTGACTCTATTGAGAGCTACAATCACCAAAAATAAGATAAGAGAAAGTTGTTGTCTTGCTCAAGACAACAATGAAGCATCATGTTTCACTGGAAGCTTAAGCTGATCTGAACACTTCTCAACCATGCTCTGCTTTATACATTTGTGTATGAGATTCAGTGAAGAGAGTGTTCCCTGGTGAATGTATACACACGTTGTTTGAAGGCAGAACCAATAGTTGAATCTGATCAACACAAGCTCTTAATGCAGAGATAAGCATTGGTTTTGCAGAAATCCTTTCTTGCAGTCCAGGCTATGCCCTGCCTGGCAGAAGTGGGCACTGCTTTGTTTACTGTTCCAGAAACCAGTTTCAGCAAGCTGATGTACGTGGAAGCCACAATTGCCTTCATGGAAAGAGATCTTTCTCCACAGGAAGGGAAATAAGGAGGAAGACGCCATCTTTTATCAGCTGCTGATAGGAAAGAATCCCCTTCACCTGACCAGCAAGGAGTGAGGGTACAATGCAGAGCAGTCCTGCTCAGGGTGGATAGGTGGGACAAAGACATAGGATCCGATGATGTTGGTTTAGGCAGCTTAGACCATTTTTCTTGTCTCCCTCAAGTTGGCTGATGGCTCAGTTGCTCATTTTCATGAACCCAGCAGCAGTAAGGAAGGGAAAGGGGGAAGAAGTACATCACTGAACTACCCAGTGACAAAATGTGTGTTTGCCAGAAGGAAGGACAAAGAATTTCCTGGAGTAATTTGCCTTCTCTGAACAAGCTAGAGTTGCCATGGTTGAGTCTTGAGGAATGGGTGTTTAATCTCCTGTATGTGTATTTATGGGACTGTGAAGTTTTGAAACTGGCCTGGAAGGAGAAAACATGATTATCTTTAGTGCTAATCTTCTGGAAAAGCTGTCCCTTGGATCATAGAATCATAGAATGCTTTGGGTTGGAAGGGACCTTGAGAGATCATCGAGCCCAACCCCCCTGCAGTAAGCAGGGATTGAACCTGGATGCTTCCTAACCATAAAGGTGGAAAGCATTTTTTCCAAGATGGGAAAGGCAGGCACTGTTGAGCCTTAAGAGTGAAGTGGAAAAGTAACTCACATGGGAAAGGACAAGCAAAAGGCACCAGAAAAAAAAAAAATTATAATGGAGCTCCAAGTGCTGGTGAATGTGCAAGGTAAACAATACAGGACAAAGGTCATATTCCACCTATAAAGAAAACAGGAAGAAAGCTAATAGAAATTGGTAAAAATTAAGGAAAAGGGACGCAAAAGGAACATTCCTAAGAAGAGCATTCACATGAAAATAAAAAGCTTTCCTCAGCTGCATCATCTTCAACCAAGGAGACATTGGAGAAACTGAGGCATGTACAAACATGCACAGTCCATTTCCAGGTGGGGAATGCAGGGGAGGCAGGGCCATGTAGACTCCCAACAGGTACCACTTAAGCAAAAAGTGTGCACATTGCGTACTTTTTGGTATCCTTGCATGTATGATCAGAACAGTTATTGGTGTAGGATCCAGACCATTGTTTTTCTCCCACTTATGCAAGGATCCAGAAGGTGGCAGAATTACTAAGCAGGTGCTTTCTTTTATGGAAGAGAATATGAAAATGCTGTCCAGGAAGATCTCTATGCTGTTTGTCTCTTCTTCGCATAGGGATCACCAGACTAGCACAGAATCCTCCCCACAGCAGGACATACATACTGACAGGCTCCCAAGGATTTGCTGTGCCTGCATATGGATTAGTGAAGGGAAAAACAGCACAAGAAGTGGTAGACAATTCTTTCTTGGCATCATTCGTGCTGGGCTATCAAAGGAGTTAACCTTTTTGCAAGCACAGTTTATCACTGAACAAACTAGAGCTATTTCTGTGCTTGCTATTGGAACACTTGCTGCAACATTTCCTTCATAAACAGCACTGCTTTCAGAACAAAAGGAAGAATTTGAATTTCTTGGGAGCCCTGAGAAATTAACCTGTGGTGTGCTGAGACTGGAGGGAAAACATCTTAAAAACATCATTTCTTAGGAATAAGAATGGGATGAGAGCCCCAAAGTGATATCCTCTGCTGCAGAGCACAGAACCCAACCAGCCCGAATAGTGCAACTGGCTGGAGCTGAGAATTCACAGCCAAACCTCCCCAGGCCATAAATGCCAAGACCTGGATATTAAACTTCAGGTGAGAGAAGAACATGACAGCATAGCCACAATTGTCCTTCTGTGGATGTCAAAACATGCCCTAAGCCAGAAGATGCTTTGGAAAACAGGTGTTTCTGAGCAAGCCAAATCTCTAGGGCCTGGATGTGTGGCTGGAAGACTTTATTTCTACACTGAACTATTAAGGCTACTGTGAGCTACTGACAATTGTTACTGAAACTAGATTCAAGTTTTATAATGCTGAACACCAGTGAAAAGTTGTTTCAGAACTTACAAATGAGGATGGATGGGAGCACAGTCATGTCAGCTGTCAGAATACTGATTACTACAACACTTTTTAATGCCTTAATGAATATCCTCCTCGAGGTTAACATCTTGCATGCTACTGTACTTTAGCCAGCTGCTTTAGTAGCCACTGAAATAACTTACCTGAAAATGCTCTCACCAAAATATGGCTTTTAAAGACATACCTTTTATCTTTGCAGATCATTTGAAGAAGACTATGACACAGATGAAGTCTTATCTCCCCCTGAAACTGGAGACAAGTCAGACAAACTAGTTATCTCAGATCTCTCAGCATAGAGAAATGGAAGACATTTAATCAATATCTTTCAAACTGGATAGCATTCAGTCCCAAGACACTTAGGAATTTTTCTTAAATCCGTCATTGGAGCAATGTGCTTTATTTTGTACACTGTAACTTGAGAACCCTTTTTCTCTTCCTGTGTAATTGCAATAAGGTAATTTCTATAAAAAAGCTTTTTACAATGTGTTATCATGCACGCTCATTAAAAATGGTGATTGCACCTTGTTTCATTTATATATAAATTCTGTTATGTCCCCAGATGTGCAATAAATGCCAGCATCTAATGATTAACTGTAACAATTGCATGCAACATCTACAGTGGTTGTTTCTCATTCAGTTCAGTCCTGTGCCATTCTGTCCCCTTGACTTTATACCAGGAGTGACAAAGGAGCTGCCAAATTAATTTAAGTGTATGTCTACAAATCTTTTAAAACACAAGTCACAGTGAAGTTCTCTTTTTTTTCCTTAGTGTCCTGGAAACCAAGGCAACATGCCTGCACATGGGGAGAGTGAAGTCCCCTTTTGTGCTTTAAACCACAAGCTCTTACAGTTGATACTGGACATATTTTACTCGTATGAATCTGTGGACAGTTAAAGCACCACATGATGTAACGTTTCCCTAAGAATTTGAGATATAGTTAACATTTCTACATATTCTCCTGTGCATAAGATGATCTTCCTCAGGCTAGTGTTTCATCTCTGTAAAAGTATTTTCTAGCATATTTACAAAAAAAGACATATATGCCTTTCAGCTGGTGTGTTGAAACTGCTGTGTCTTGTGTGCACCAGTTCTGTCCATTCCCTGTGTTATTTCCCTCTATTGTATTGCTAACCTGTAGCCTTCTCCAAGAGACTAAGCTGAGATAACGAAGAAAAAAAAAATCCAACCCTAACCTAGTATGCTAAATTTCTGTTACCAGAGGGATCCTTTAACTGGAAAAGGAATTAGGCTGTAATATTGCCAAAAATTTATTTTCCACCCATGAAGTAGGCCCCAGTCTCAGCGAGGACACATCTAACTAACGAATTCTTGCTTTAAGTGCAAAATTAAACTGACTTTCCCCATAGAATCACAACTGGTGTCTCTAGTAAGAGCACATGCTGTGCTGCTAGAGCTGTTCCTTCTCGCCTAATCTTGCTGTGATTCAGCACAGAGGTGATTATAACGTATTCTTATCAGTCAATTTTAGCCATTTTAGATACACAAATAGATCTGGTGCTTACCTTCTCCAGCTTGGGACAGGTTTCAGCTGTCATATTTTATTTTAACTATTATAATTGTGCCCAAATATGTAATGATTGGTTGGCATGTATACACTGTATTTCCTCTTACCTCACAGTAAGAATATCAAACCATGCCTCCTCAGGACATCCCTGCATGAATCCCTGTCAGAATACCTGAGAGACAACTGCCAGAGCCAGGATCAGATCTCCAAGCAGGCACCTCCTTGCCTGCAAAGGCAGAACCCACCCAGTTAATAGATAACTCATATATACACACGCACACTGCTAGCCTGGTGTATTTTGTACATATAGAAGCTAGCACAGTGGAACATTAATCCCTAGATGATACCTCTAAGTGCTGCTGTTAATAACAAAGTAAGTAATTGGCTGATCACTACAATGCAGCTTCAACTTTTCCAGGAACCTTAGAAGCGTAACGCCTGCCTCCCGATGCCCAGGTGGGATATACTGCTGCCTTGTTGAGGTTAGTAACTCTCTCCTTGGGATGAAAATCTGAAAGAGAGGAAGTTTTCAGTTATACTGGCCTTGGAGTCTCTTTTTCTTAAACAAAGCTGCTATTTTATTCAGATGCACATACACACCCCAGGATCCTGGATGTGATATTTGAGAAACTTCTGGATGCCCTGCTTATTTGCAAAGGCACTGCAAGGTAACTTCCATTCCATAATAAAAGATGTAAGCAGGGAGCGCTCTAACCAAACCAGGGTAAGACTCTTTGAATGCAACAAGCACACAAGAGCAGCTCTTTCCAACACCAGGGAATTGGAACTGCATCTCCATTAACACTATAACCCTGTGGGGAAAAGCTTTACTGGGGATGATTCCACAAAGGCCCAAATGCAGAAGACACTAGGAAATGATGGCAAAAATGAACATAGGATGCAAGTTGCACAACTGCTAATTGTAACCAGCTCCATCCACTTTTTACCTGAAAGAACCTAGGCAAAGCAGTTCACCTCCTTTCTTCGCTATCTAGGTCCAGCGTGGTCTTTTAGTTTGATAAAATTTTGCATCTCTCCAAAGACAAAGATTCCTCAAAGGAACAAGAAGGCCCTGACCCCATTCTGGGCTGAAAGTGAACCTTCATGTTACTTCAGCATTGCTAGCTTTTAACTCCATAAGCAGCAGTACTGGAATGTCCAGTTTGCCAATTACATAAAGCCTCATTCCAGAATAACTTATTTTTAACCTGGGATAGCCCTGGCACCTCCAAGCTAGCTTTCCTAGTGCTGTACAGAATAATATAGTAATTCATGTTGGAAGGGACCTCTGTAGGTCTCCATTCCACCGCCTCACTCAAAGGCAGGACAGCTTCAAAGTTAGAGCAAGTTTCTTGGGACCTCATCCAGCTGAGTTTTGAAAAATCTCCACAGATGGTGATTCTACAACCTCTTTACATATTAACATTTCCTCCTCCTCCACCTCCCTATGGGAGTTCAGAGCAACATCCTTTTCCAGGAAGGATGTATATTCCCGGGAACGCACAATTTCTTTTTCACACAAGGAGGGAGTTAGATGAAGGACTCACCAGTTGAGCAAGTGACACCCTGTTGTCAAGCACCAATGTGTGTTTGGATGCAGATGCAGCCCATGATAGACTGTGAAGAGCTGGTACTCCAACCCTTGGTGCATCGCTTTTTTGGTTTGGCATTTCTGTTCTTGCTAGGTCATACCTTGAACCTACTTCTGCTGTTCCTGCTCGCTTACTCTATTCACGCACCACTTCAGGATCTTTCCCTCTTTCTCCTTATGCCCCTTATGTCCCCCTTGCAGAGGAGCTTTAACTCAACCCATCAAATGAATTCAGACACCCATCTCACACCACACCAGTCTGTCTGAACTGGTGCCTTTTTTTAAAGAAGTTGGTATCCTGAGCCTGGTAAAAATCACCAGTTACCTTTTCAAGGTTTGGCTTCACTAAATTGAGAAAGAAGCTCATAGCTGCTCTGCTGAGCCCTTTGGCCCCCAAACCCAAGGCCCTGTCTTTTACAGAGGTTCACTGCTGCTATGACAAAGTAGAGTGATTCCAAACCCAATCCATGCTTTCTAGTAGGTCAGCACAAGCAGCTAATCGAAGAGGAAAAACAAAAAAACAAACCCAACTTACAGCAAATGTTTTGCCTTATATGCAAATATAAGGACAAGCTACAGAAGCCACTGCTAGCACAATATCAGTGCAAAATTTGCAGTAGTTTATCTTATTTACTCCAGGAGTAGAAATCCATTCTTTCTCACCAATACATTTGAAAAGAATCGTAATTCAACAGCCACAAATTAATTATTAAAGGAGGTATTCTACACCCCAAGTGTGACTTAGCCCTGTCCACAGCTTCTCTGGATATATAAGCAAGGTAAATTTGGGAACTCCTGTCCTACTTCTTAGCTTTTCTTTCTGGGATAATCAAAATGTAAGAAGACAAGCACGCTCACGAATACAGACACCAGAACCTGCTCAGCTGCAACACGCACCAACTTCAGCAGTCAGCAAGCTCTCTAGAATGAAGGAACCCAAGAATCACAGCACAGAAAACTTCAGGTGCCCACTTCGCTCTGGCTTTGCCTCCTGTCTCCAACTGTGAATGCCACTTCAGATGTTGCATACCTTTAAAGATGGAGCATGCATTTTTCATTGTAAATCCAGCTCAGACTGAAGTCTATTATGAGCTGGATTCCTTTTTCCTTACGAGTGGTCAGAAAAGTAAGTAAAATTCAGTTTTGCATGATTAAAAAAAAACAACCTACGTTTATTTGTTCTCTCTAGTCTGCTTTTGTCTAGCAAAATTAAGTCCTGTGCCCTTACAAAACCCTTGCTTTTTATTTTTATATTCACAAATATTGTCTCCCTGCAGTACTAAGATTGGAGATAGGGCTCGATACAACCACATGCAATTACTGCTGGAATGGTACCAGCTTGATCCCCCCCACCCCCCCCAAAAAAATCGCAGTAGTAATTGCTGCGTTACAGTTTTCGTCAGCAAAACCCAGGCACTGACATAGTTCCCCTTCTGCCGGTCTGCCACCAAGCGGCAGTGTTGCAAAACAGACACGGACAGCAAAAAAATTCCAGTCAGTCTCAGGTTTACAGAAAACATTGCAGAACACCTTCCTGCTCTCCTGAACTAAGGATTTAAGAAAGCTGACTCGAGATACTCTAACCAAGGTACTGTGCTTAGTTTCTGAAACAAAATATGCCTGAAAGGCCAAAAAAAGAGATCACTGAAGTGTCATTTTAATGGTATGTATTCTGGGAGTATGGTGTTTCTATATCACAGCATCTTAGGTCTATGCAATCAAAACTGAACCTCAATAAAGAGCATGAGCTACTGTAAGAAAAACATGTAAACAGTGCTTACCCTTTTGTTCTAATCTTTTCTCTCTATCACTGGTGATGGTCTTAGAAACTGAGTATTTAACGATAAAGGTTCTCATACTTTGTAAAAGTAGTTTGGAGACGTTTTGTGCTGGCGTGGTTTTATCTTTGTATTTTTACTTTGTATTTTCTTCTTTTTTGGCAAATAAAGGACTTTTAAATTTAGAAAGTAAAACCTGTCTTGTAGTGGTGGGGTAGAATGTTACTGTTCACTTCATCTCCAGCTGCTGTCCCAAAATCACCTTGCCCGCTGCTGCTAAGCTCATGCCATCCAGTTACCTGTCAGCAAGCCTGCCAAAGCCAAAATTCCAGGCTTTCTTCTCAAAAATACTGGGGAAGAGAAGCAGTCCTACCAGTTACCTTCCTCACATCTTCATCCCTCAACATGGAGCACTATCGGTGTGCAAAAAAAGTAATGCCTTTTCTAATTTCATTATATGCAAATGTGCAAGCAGAATTGCTGCATTATCTTATTACTTCATCTGTGAGACTGACGGGTCAGCGGTCCCTTGTGTGCCTAATCTGTATATAGCACAGTCACTTTTTGGTGGGGACCTCTGGGTTTCTTGAAAATACCAGCGTCATTTCCGTTTGAAAAATTAAATAGTTAAGACCAGACAAACAAGATGTGCTTGCGATGTTATCAGTACTACTTTAAATAGCATTATATACCTCTCAGAGTGAATTTCATCAGTCATGCCACATACCTGGAATGATTCTAACATACAAAGCTCCTCCTGTCGTTTCACTTCTTGG